CCTATCTACTCGAGTATAGGGCACAAGTAACCTAATTGTAACAACGAGACTCTGTCGGAAATCAATCAAGCCCATCTAGAACCATGAGTGAGAATTTCCATCTTCAACCCCCCTCTGTCCCTAATAGCACCAATAGCAGCAATACCGAAGTCATCGACATCAACGCCCAATCCAATTCTCCGGTTTGGAATCCCATCCTATTACACATACATTACACATACATTACACATACCTTATTTGTTGCGGGTTTATCTTCTAGCTCGTTGTCTAGCTCGCTGTCTGGTATGGACTTCTCGTAGCGGTCTCGCGCACAGTACTCATTTGGTTCGGATGCTTTGCTTTCGTCGGGTAGTGCTTTTAATGCCTCCAATAGAGTAATAATCGCTGTGTTCAATACAATACTGCTGCCGGCGCTGAGATACTTGAGGGGAGGGGGGTCCCTTGTCGATTACATGAAGCATGGTGGATGATTCAGTCTCGTAGAAGCCTGTGAAAGGGCGATTGCTGAACTTGTGAGTATCACTGGATATGAATCTCCGTTTAGTTAGCCGTGGTCATTGGATTTATAAATGCAGTAGTTTGCGCATCGTTACAACACTTAGACGAATGGCTTCATATTGATGAAGGAATGGATGTTTTGAAACTTTATAGTCTTGGTGGGATTGTGAGAAGTTTTTTGTCTGGAATATTTGCTAAATATTGTAGTAAGTAGTCCTGTCATTGAATTGATGACAAATGTTCATGCTAATTCTTGAATAGAGAGAATGCATGTTGGTGTGACTTCAGCAGCAGGCGGTATCGAAGGTAACGGAATTCAGCATTCAGGTGGATAAATAACTCGCAGAGATTACCGCCATCTCAGCCTATCCATTTCTGGTATCCTGCGTTCTCCTTTACATCCTGAGATTCATTACAGGAATGCACTTACAGATAACAGAAGAGGCCGAAATTCAAGGCCTAGACATGAATCAATTATTCGATAAGTAGATCGGTGGTTGGATAATATTTCATGAATTAGATCAGACGAAGATGGTGCTTGAGGCAAGCTCACCCGGAACTCCGTAGGTGCAAGAGGTACAAGAACAGGTAAAGCATATCAATAAAGCTTTCTAATATGGATGAGAAAGAGTATTCAAGACTTCAAGACTCGAAATCGTACAAATTAGAGAAAAAAAACTCTATTTCAATGAATGTAACGCTCCACCATGAACATGTGAGAGTAGAAAGTGGTGATATGCGATATCCTTGTGAAAATATGCGCTTGGTTGGCTACCTCCAATTTTCGACAACACCCACCTGTCTCTCGTGGGTATGAACTTGTGATGGGACTGAATAGCTAAACACACTTGTGCAGAAACGGACAATACACATACACCCCCATATGTGTACCGGTAGTTCATTACCAACCATATCCTTCATGGATATGGTATTATTTTCATCGACTGGAAAGTATTATATATAGATAGCAACACGTTCAATAGCCATCGACACATTCAGAGATTAATGAAAATCTAGGTACTAGGTACTGTAGTATGCAATGAAAGATATCGTATTGGTCTAGCTCAATGTACACTGTACAGAAGACCATAATCCGTGACTAATTCTGTATTTCGGCGGTTGAACTTTGTGATTTCGTTGGGTTTTTGGTTTGATTTCATTTGGTAAGACTGTAACTTTATGAGATGTTCTCGAGGGTTACAGTACGTACCGTTGAAGTGGGGGATTGTTACTGAGTGGGTTTGATTTTTGAGTATAGACTTGATGATGAAGATGAAGATATAATAACAGATAGGTAAAATGCGCACAGACCACATGATCACTGCGTGACATTGCTCTTCCCTTTTCCTTTTCTCCATCACCCCCTTTTCCCTTTCCCCTCTATCTCTATCTCTATCATACACCCCCTTTATTCCTCTAATTACTTCTACACTTCTAACAACTACTAACAATTACTAATAACCACCATTACATACCATATAAACGATATCAAATAAACCAAAAGAATCACCCAAAAAATTACAGTCACTATCACCATCACCATCACCATAACTTAAAATCAATAGCCCAACCCTCAAAAAAAAATTATAACCTTAATCATACCAATTATATAATCTTACTCTACTCTATCTGTATGTATCTGTATAACATAATAAGTTCTTAATTTTTGATTTGAATTTTCTATTCTAGAGACAGACTTGGACTTGGATCTATCTCCATAGTATCTAACTGATACACAAAAGGGGTATCTATTCTGGACTATATACATGTATACATAATAATTATCTTTTACTACACTTCTATTACACTTCTATTACCCATCATCATACCATCACACCATCACACCATCAAAACTTTCTATATACAGAAGAAATAAACCAACCAACCACCCATCACACCCCATCAATACATACAACACAACACAATACCCATCACACCACAACCCATCACTCCAAACTCGCAATAATCTCCTTCATCAACGCCTCAGTAAACTGCCACAACATACTCGAATCATGCGTATGAAACGCCGCACCCGTATACCACGTATTACGCTCCCCCTGCAACCCATACAACTCCCCATAAAAACCCGCCTCAATAGCTTCAGCCGGTACCCACAATTCAAACGGCGTATGTCTACTATAAGCCAGGAGTTCGGGGGTACTGGTGTCGTTGTTTTTATTGAGAAGTTGAAGTTTACCGATTTCGGCAAACATGGCGGCTTGAACTTCGTTATCGGGGAGAGAAGTAGGGGATCCGTAGTACATATTGTAGATTTCGGGGATAGCGGTCGCGCCTATGGAGTAAGCGGCTGGGAGGGGCGGGAATCCGTAGGTGGTGTTCTCACCGATGTTGGTGATGGAGATGCCGGTGGGGAGACCGGTGTTGGTGAAGACGGCGGTGTAGTAGCCGCAGTTGTTGAATTGGGAGAAGAGGGTTATTTCTGTGGTGCTGAGATCCCAACCCGTGAGATTATCTATCTTGGGGGGGATGGTAAAGATAAGTTTCTGGGCTTCGATGAATTTGTATCCAGAAGGTGTACTGATGAGTACTTGGACACAATCACCATTGCGGTTTACGGCCACGATGGTAGCGCTGAGGAATACATTGTCATTTCCGATAATGGCTTGGGCGTTTTCGTAGATCAAACTATTGTCGTGTGCAGCGGTGCCCAAGAAACCAGTTGTTAAGCAGTCGATCACACCCATGCCAAAGTTCTTGAAAACGTACAACGTAGGCTTGGAAAGTAAATCTCCGAGACCCTGAGCAAAATTGAAGAGAAATCCGAGAAATTCATCCCCGAGTTTGTATTTGATGGCAAAATCTCCAAAGCTTAGCAAAAGATCTTCGGGGACGGGGCTTGGTAATTCGAATCCAGTCTCGACATAAGAGTATTTCTCGAGTTGCGCGATGTAAAGCGCGAGACCGGTGGTGAAGCCGGCGGTAGAGTACGTGGAGTTCTCGATGCCAGTGCGAAAATCGGCATACACTGTGCTTCCACCGGAAATATCGGCCACAGCCAAAGGAACATTAAGACGAGCAGCATAAGTCTTGACGATATCAATATTGTGGTAGATTACCACGCCGTAGTCTTCGGTGAGGCCAGTGGCTGGATCGGTATAGGTATTGGTGTGCCCTCCCATGCGATCTTGGTTATCGATGACTGCTACGGTCTTGTTCGAGTCGAGTAGACCAATTGCTGCATATGTTCCAGAGGAACCTCCACCAATCACTACTACATCTCGCTCGATGTATTCAACAATTTTGTAAGCGATATTGTTGATAGTGACGGAATTGGTAACGTTCAATGAAATTGTGGCAGCAAATGCTTCAAGGGAGAAAAAACTGGTAATAGCAGCTAAAAGCAATGGAGTGACTTTAAAGATAGCCATGTTTTCTTCTGTATTGTTTGCAATTGATATGAAGATTTGCAGAGAAAGTAAAATTCGAGGAAGGAGTTTTGCAAAGAAGCAAAGGATAGTATGAAAAATCCGAATAAGGAACAGAAAGTGAAAGAACTATCAGACTTTATATATTTAAGACAAACGCCGTGATAGATGAAAATCTGTCTGTGCTCTATTATCCCACCAAGAATTTCCTTTCTTTGATTTTGGACATATCAAACGAATGTGACAAACGAAAGCCATCGCCTTTATCCCTTGTATATCATCTCAAGATCTGTAGGAAACCATGTGGGATATGTCCCTTCTGGATCTCATTGACCAATTAGAGATATTCCTCTCCCTTGTTCTGGAAGGTTATCATGTATGGATCATGTAAGCTTTTGCATGTTGATCTGAGCCAATTGGGTAACTAGAAGACGATGATTTGCGGGCTACTCTCGGAAGATGTTGCATCCACTTGATTAATCCTGGGCGATCCTTCAAGAAAGAAGGAAGGATGATACCCTGCAATTGAGTTTTTTCTTAATAGTGTTTGAACACCGAGTTGGGCGGAAGGAATTGATATGCAGATATTGAAGAAATGTAGATATTAATTTAGGTGTAAAGTTTATTATAGTACAACTTGAGTACATGTGTTATTGTTGCTAGGTAGTGAGTAGTGAGTGGTATGCTAGCTCTCCATCGGTGAAAAAGAATAGGCCGAGAGTAACATTGATGGATGTCCTTGCTTGATTGCGGAAATCCAAGGTATGATACTGTACATATTTAATAATGATATTACATACAGTAAGGTTACGGTATTGGCTTACTGGTATGTACGTCTTGTTCACCGTTCACCGACAGAAAGGTTGGCTTCAGAATATGCCACAACTAGCGAGGATTACACTACACTAGCGAGCGAGGATTACTAATAAAGTGTGTGCAATCAACCACTTGTCAGCCGATGCATAAATATTCCTTTCTCACGATATTATACAACTTCCCACTTCTTTAAGACTCCGTCCCGTATTACCAACCTCCAACCTCCAATCTCCTAAAATCTCACACAAAGAGAACTCTATTTTTAGATGGTGTAGAGCGCGTCAATCAAAACCACCTCCTCGAGTAATCCAAATATAATACCGATATCCATTAACCTTATTAATCTTTGCAAACGCGCTCGGTTCGGTCAATAATGATTCCGGTCCCGAGTCGTCCCATTTCCAATCCCAATATTACCGACTCGGGTGAAAGCTTTAATAAGTATCATAAATGGGATATACAGATTAATAAATATAAACAACCTAGATAAGTATTATATGTTCCGAATCTAACCTTACTTTTATTGATTTCAATATTCTTTCTATTTCTAATTCAGTGTTGCAAAATCTATATAAACTAACTTTATAGATCCGGGATTATCGGGTATTAAACCACGTCTTCGATTCTTAGGACCAATTCCGTTATTAGGTGATGGCGCCAAGTACTTGGGAGTTTGGATAGATGTTGCTCAAGTTGTTTTCACTTCTCAAATCCTCTTTTGCTTTCATCGGTTTTTGAGTTCTCTGTTCAGGAATGGTTGTGGTCTTGATATGGCGATTTGAGCCTTTTTAGAGGTTTGTCGTAGGAAATGATGCAATCAATACTTTCTGTCGCCTGGATTGATCGATCTTCCTAATTCACAATAAATACTAGGAGATACTTGCTATGATACTAATGTCACGTTCAGAAAGAACACGAAGGTCTTTGATATTCAATAGAACAAAGTACCAATTGTGTCTCGGCTCAAATGATTGGTCGAAGTTAAATTGTCATGCAGTTCGTCTGATGTGATAAAGAAAGAAAGAAAAATTTCCATGGAAGCTACTATCTCATCTACATCATCGGAGCTAGAAACAAATTCCTCCCCTTAACAGCATTTTGATTTGGAAACACCTTATCAATACTAATCCCCAAGATCCAATCCCTCACCCTCCGAGGATACAACGCGATAATCCTATCCTTCAAATCCTGCGCACTAGTACCGACCTCGATCAAAACCCCCACTGGCAATCCCTAATATACCTTTTCAGCTACATACTCAAAATAATCCGTCCCATATCCATCCCACATGCTTGTAACTCGGCACCACAATCTTGGGTCGCAACCCCTCTATCTTATCCACAGTTCTTATCCATTCAGCCCTCAATTCCGCAGTATCACTCTCAACAAGATACTAGAAACATTCTCCATACACCGCATCGTCCGTACCCACCAGTTCGAGCGAAGACACGTGCAGAATATTCGTATTATACGTATACGTATCCGACCTCAATCGCTTGCATTAAATGCCCTTCTAGATAGAATTTTCCATGTCAAGGCAACGCGTGAATAGTTTCACTCTGCTCAGGTATCTGGTTTGGGAATACGGCAGACCAGAACTAGACAAATTCAGCAATATGTGCAAAGGTTCGCGAAGTAGCTAAGGTTACAGCGATGAAGCTAGGGAATGGAATCGCAACTGTACACCCAGTTTAATAACGTGTTTCCAAAAAAAAATCGCGATTTTGATCTTTGATAACTTTTTATCTTAATTTCAAAATAACTTTTTCAACAAATAAGCTATTTCAGTATTTAAAAATAATTGAAATGATTCTAATAATCAATAATTCAATTATATCGAAGAAATTTTCTATATTAAAGTTATTTTGATAAAGATATTGTAGATTGAAATTCGAAAAATTCGATATGAGATTGAGATTGAGATGAAAATTCGCGAAAAGTCAATTTTCTTCTGGAAACACGTTATTAAACTGGGTATAGAATAGGGATCATGAAGAAATAATCGCCGTGTCTATGGGTGATGTAGATAGATGTGTGTAAGTGTTTTGTTGCCGATGAGTTGGGATATCCAGTCGGCTAGTGCGTGGGATGTTGCGATATTGACGGAGGCGTTGATGAGGATGGTGGTTGATTTTTTTGTGTAGGAGTTGGGAGAGATGGGGGAGATGGTGTAGTTGTAGGTGGGTCGAAGGCGGGAGGGGAGGGGGCGTTGAATACGCCTGGATTGGTGAGTGAGAGCGGCGAGGCTTAATGGAGTGAGGAGGGTGGTTAATAGTAAGTTTCAGGACTTCATTTTGTGTTTTGTTTGCAGTTTCAATTATGGTTGTCTTTTGTATAAGTGGATTGGTCTTCTTTTATGAGAGAAGTCTCTCCTTGTATATTTGCTATACTTACTATACTATACTATACTATACTATACTATCTCATCTTTATATACCCTACATACCCTATATACCCTACATACTATATCATACTATATCTCAAAACCCTGAAATGGTTTCTTGAATTTGTGGATTTAGGTGAGGTGACTGAGGTGAGGTGAGATTCTTCAATCATCGAGTTTGTAACACGGAGATATATCTGTTTATCCTTTTTCCTATATACATGGAGGTATTGAGTCTTTTAAGTTTACTTTTAACCCTAGACGATAATGAGCGCTTTGGAAAATTTTAATTCATGGTGAAGTATCGTGGACTTTGATAAGTGTCTTTCTCATTACTCTATGATTCTATAGCAAGAAAACAACATTTTTCGTTTGAGTTAATGTATATGCTGATTTCTGAATCATAAATAATCAGAAGAGAGTGTATTTATACAGTCCATAGGTTTATGAATGGCTTAATCTTTTATTTTTTATCACATATCTCTCCTTCTGGGACTACGAAAACAGAAAATGAACTTCAAGAGCTACAAACTTGTATTATGTTCGATACCTCATTTAGTTGGTCAAGTGTACCCATTGGGTAGTGAGTTAGCAATAGCTCGCTGCTAGACTTGAGCTCAGCGGTAGCACAGGATAAGATCTTTGAGTGGAACGACAGACCCTCACTCTCTGAATGAAAATGTACGAGAGATTATTCTTACTACCAGTAGTTCTGAAGTAAGTCTCTATAGTAGCAAACATGTCTTCTCCACGGATGACGACGAAGCTCTACACAGATTCTGCAGTTGAGGTCGAACTTAGATGTTGGCAATTAATGATGTGGAGGTTGAATGCAAGGCATTCCTAACGTTATTTGAATCATTCAATCTGAAGAATACAAGTCTTCACAATCCAGTGTGATTTTCTTTGTGGAGAGAATCCGCGATTAGGATTTCCATCTTAAGGATTGGGAGTTTGTTTTTGAATCATTCTTCCAGCTTGATGGAACTTGAGCTTTGAATTAAAATGTGGAAGTTGATTGCAAGGCATTTCCAACACCATTTGAATCATTCAGCTTGAAAATTTGATCCGCAATTAGCGATTTTCATCTCGAGGATTGGGAGTTTGCTTTCGATTCATGCTCCCAGCTTGATAGGGCCAACGCCTAAAGCAAACAATTCATTGAATTTCATAATGAATTTTATACAACGACGGTTGATAGAAGATGATTATCGATGAATCACTCTATGCTCTTATAACAGATGAATACCATACGCATTCTCAAAAATATTATAAAAGCTTCGCCCTCAACTTATCTCATTCCTTCTTTCTTCTACCTTTCAATCATCACAAGTAGCACAAGCATTCAGCACACTTCCAACAGCTACCGAACAACATAACAAAATCAAATAAGTCACCATCACCATCAAATTCAACGTACCACAATAGATCCAACCACAATCATAACAATGAATCCACAACAAAACCACAGCGTCGGCTACCCCTATTCATATCCATACCGTCCAGGAACCCCCCTCCAAAGTTCAACAGGTACACGCTCCGATCTTCGCGACAATAACGCATTTCCCAATAATCAACTTCCCCCATTAAGAAATATTAATGGTGCCTGGGATGCAAACAGTGGTTTCGCGACCAGAAGAGATAGAGTGGATGCGGATGTAGGGAGACCGGTGTGTATAGAGCCAGATGTGAGGATGAATGGTCGGTATGCGAGTCCGTATGTGAGATTTGTTAGTTTTAGGAGTATGGGATGGGGACCGAGGTGGTGAGTGAAGGAAGCGAGGTTGCTGGGTAGCGAGGTATGGCGGGGCGGATGGGGAGATATGAATGGGTACGGATATCTATAACGATATTTATACGTAGATGAGAGTACAATGAAAATCGTTGCTTTACATTTGCCATTTAAATAATGTACTCACAGTGATAAAATACGCTACCTGCCATGACACGAATGAATGATTCTCCAAATCCATATTCCAATACCGGCTCACAGGATTATCGCAGACCAACAAACTGGTGCAAAAAATGATACCTTCCGAGCAATCTACAAGCAACGAACCTGGATTTTCTTCGCAAAAGATATTTTAGGAAGGCTAAAAATCCTCATCACACCCCCAATGCTGAGTCCATTGGTGCCTCCTCAAATTACCCCAGCTAAATATCCATCGTCGCTCGATATTGGGAAACTAAAAACATCATATCAGTAATCGATACTCTACAAATAAAGGATATTAAAACCCACATACATTCCAAACCCCATTAAATTATGCAGCACCCCATCCATGACGATAATTACCAGCAAAATAAGAAGGTTCCACCATCGTGAATACCGATTCCATATGAAAAGGGTTCGTCGCCATCGATACCGAATTCGTAGAGGTAATTCTAGTAGCCCCATCTTTCAAAGGTGCAAGTTTGAGATCAGCCTCTGTCACGATATAATTATCACACCATCCATCTTCGGGACCAAGACCTTCAAATGGAGGATTAAGACCGGTAAATGGTGGATGGAGATTGACTGCATTAGAGGAAACGTCGTTTTTTCTTAGATTTAGGTCTTGGGCCTGTTTGTTGGTGATTAGAGTCCAGGGAGGACAGATGAGCTTTTGCATGCAGCGTAGATCGTCGAATGTTATTATGGGTTTTTGGTGGATGGTTACTCGACAGAGACAACAGCCGGGGAGTGGTGGTAGGGAGTCCATGGTTGTGGTTTTATTGATGATGGTTAGTATGAGGGTGCTGTTGGTGCTTCGGATGTTGATAAACGGTGATTTTTAAGTTTCGATGGGAACAAGAAGAATTTTGTGACGTTTTGGAAGTATTGATTGTAGTCAAGATGAAATAATGTAGTGTTTTTTGAAATTGTGGAAGAATTGAAGAAGCTTATGTATATTGCCCTATTGAAGGAGGAAGGAGCTAAGGTGCGTGCGATAGTAAGAACTCGAGAGGAACTTTCACAATGAAGGTTGGACTGTATATTATGATTGGCTCTTCAGACTTTAAAAAGACCTTTATGGCTTCAGTCATCGCATACTGTTCCTTCCTTGGACATTTTGTACCGGCCCATTAGCTGTCTGATAGACTGAGTAATATGAGACCGAGTTCAGGTACACTCCCAATGCAAGTAATCAATGACGAGTAATGCTTATAATAGCAGACATCAAAAGACTAATGGGAATAATACTATGAAGAAAAATATTGATACAATGATGTTGTTTGGTGAGCCCGCTTTTTGATTTGGAATCCCATTCCTTCGCTTCGGACCCCTTTTACAATGTTGAGATGTTGGATTGTTCTATGTTATCAAAACTTCCTGCCACATCCATGAGTGTCATGCTTAGGAAACAATTTTTCAATTCAAGAAAACGCTAGTACTTTGCAATATTCAATAAAAATTGGTTTCTTGTGATGGTCTAGGAAAAGCATAGCACCAAGGAACCAGTTTAGGAACGGTTTTATATGTCCAACAACCGAATGATCAAAAATTTGTATTTATTGGCACTGACAAGTGGAATTATTACCGTTTTGTTTTCTGTGCTGGTAATCGATAATTTGGATTGGAGCTAGCACGAAATATGATGCTTCGAGCGATTTAAGACAGAGAGTAATAAAGTGTTGTGATTCTACATCGCGAGAATATAGTAAGACTTACAATAGATTAGAAACAGTATTGATCCTTTGGATAGTTCTAACTACTATCAAACTCTCACTTTTTATGGCACATGTTTCCTCTACCGAAGACAAAATTGATTTAACATTTTTCCGAGAATGAGCACTACTCAAATCTTTGGTCTGTGGTTCCCAGCCCATTAATTGATGATTCGAAGCCTGATATTTCTAGGGAAGACACGAGAAATTATTGCGTCATACTGCATGAACGCACTTGTATTCTCACATATTGATACGATGCTTGCCTTTATGATATGTCTTGTTTTTGTAATTAGACACATATGGGCTACCAAAGCTAGTTCGATCACTGCTGATTGTGGATTGGTCAAGCTTGGACTTATACCATCTGACCTCTATTCAACGCTTTCTATCATTTATCTAGCAGGGTTGATTCAGTTGAACAACCATTGATACCCATCAAGTGTCTACTCGATGTTGAATTGATATTGATTGTAGCTGAGTCAAATTTGAACTTATATTAATACCTACATCGTCAACCTAAAATCACTGCGTATCGCAACCAATTATTAGCATTTCGAGTTCAAGATAAAGATTGAAAAAGCGAGTGCTTCCATTTTTGGTATCTGGATTATAAAAATATAATATGAGGTTGGATACAGGACCGGAGATAATGAAGATATAGCATAACTTGACTAAATCCTTTGAGTTCTCTTATATAAGCGTATCTCCAATATTCCATAATTGATATGGTAATACAGTCACGCTGCAGCACTGTTTCGGTATATAAGGATGTGTTACGAGATATACCTCACTTGACAGTATTGATATCACTGCGAACCACCTCATATTAAATGTAATCTTACCAGGGCATATCGCCCAGTCCATCATTATTATGTGCAGCCAGCAGATGACCCATGCATAGGCGGAGGAAGAGTTAATACACGCGGGGTATTGCAGAAACTCGAGTGGAAAAGACGTCCAAAGCTGTTTGCCAAATGTCATGACATAAAATTATCATGAGTACAAGTACCGTGAAGATTGCCGTTAGCAAGGTTATTTAACCGTGATCTTAATATTATACTGCCTCGGCGCACAGCCCTTTAGCATCGGGAAATTAGCAAACTCCACTACCCTACAGTACTTAGTGTATTACTGTTCTATGGCATTGTTCTTCTATGGCATTGTTCCTGAATTTCCCCGGTAAATCATCGGTTTACCCCATCTAATCCTAATCTAGTCAGGGGTGTGGGGTCTTGTCTAACGTCGATTTTAACCTTCTTTAATATCCATATCTATACGAGGAACGCGTCCCGGTACTTGTGCTGCGAGAAAGTTATGCCATCCGGATATTGGTACTCATGCCGCCAGAAAGTCTGCAACTCGGGAGACTAAGTGGGCCACTAATAGAGTCAATATCAAATACTCCATATAAAAAATTTGTCTTCCTTTTCTAACTTGAGGAACCTCGGAGTGGCGAAATCTTCAGTTTCTATAATATTCATGAATATTATTGGTTGAATAGGCCCCCTTTTAAGGTTTAGATTATCGATTAGCCCTCCTTTTAGTATATACGGGAGTGCCCGAGTTGCGGACTTTCTGGCAGCATGAGTATCTTGTTATTCAACACGAAAAAAAAAAGACTGGTCAGGGCTGACTTCAAAGAAACTTTAATGTTGACTAACCGGGGTATCTACCTAGTGACATTCTTCTTATGCTGGGGCGTCTCAATTTGGGTGAATACCGGTAGCAATTAACTGACCTGCTGTAAGGAGATGAGCTGGGGTGACATTGGGGTGGGAGCCGTTGAGAATAGCTGCAGATGAGTGACCCATCGTTTTCGATGGATTGATCTCGCCATTCTTCACCGCAGTGGCACTAGCCCATGTCTCTAGATTCATCCTTGCTTTCGAAACATATATAAAAGCATCCCATCTTCTGCAATGATTTTACTTTCCAAGCCAGACCACGAGTCCAAAGTCATTATTGTATAGCAAACCAAATTTGTCTTTGCTTTCAAGATGCGTCTCTCGACAGCTCGACTCCTTGTCTTGAGCAGCGTACTCGGCACCTCGCTTGCTCGAGTCAATAATGTCCCAATTGATAATTCAACAATCGACGAACTCTACGCCGCAGCAATCAAAGAAGATGGAAAATTGGTCGTAGCGTCAGGTGGTGATGGTGAGTAAACATTTTCATAACTAGCTCCATACCCACAGACCCTATCAATCATAAATACCGGTACATATATTGACAAACCACAAGACGGAGTCCAAGGCGATTCTATAACAACAGCTTGGGCCGCGAGATTCCCTAAGATCTCCCTCGATCTTACAGTGGATCTGTCGAAATATCACGATAGTCGAATTGATCGAGCATATTGGGCTAATAATGAAACTGTCGATATTGCCATTCTTCAAACTCTCCAGGATTTCCAGCGTTGGAAGGAGGAGGGTCGTTTGATGTTTTACAAACCCCCAACTTTTGCTGATTTGTATTCGGGGGAGACGGATCTCGATGGTGCTTTCTTGCCGATTAACATTGGTAAGTATTTCCGTCTTATCACTATTTCTCAAATTGTACTAACTTTCCTTCAGACAGCTTTGGTACATTCATCTACGATAGCACTCTCGTGTCAGCAACCGACGTTCCAACCAGCTACGCAGACCTCCTAGATCCCAAATGGAAAGGCAAGATCGTAGCCACCTACCCCAACGACGACGACGCAATCACCTATCTATTCTCCATCATCATCGGACGATACGGTTTCCAATGGTTCGACGCACTCGCAGCCCAAGATGTTCAATGGGTGCGCGGAACCGCCACTCCGGGCTATGTCATCCAGGATAACCATAACAACGCCAGCGCATCCGCATCCGGCACCTCACCCAAATCACGCGTCCTCTCATTCACCAGCGGTCCCCCCGCAAACGCATCATACATCCACTCAGCGCAACCCCCAGCTCCAGAACAACACATGGCATGGGCTCAAACAGTCGCGGCTATGGCCTCAACTCAAAGACCTAATACGGCGAAACTTTTCCTAGCGTGGATTACGAGTGATGAGTATCAAAAGGCTTCTACGTCGGGTTCGGTAAGGAAGAGTTTGGATATTGGGGGGACGGTTTATACGAGTAATACGACGCAGACGAGTGGGTTTAGACAGTTTATGCAGGATAGAACAAGGGTGGAGTGGTGGAAATTGCAGTATGAGACGACGTTGGGGCCGGCGCAGGGGGTTAGTCCGTTGGCTTTGTATCCGTGATTGAGGTCTGAGGTCTAAGGCGGGATGGATGGATGATGTGGAGAATTGAAGGGAGCTAATCTGATGGGAGGTTATGTTGGGACTGGTGAGTTCTTGTGTAGGTTGGGTTTCCTGTAATTTGTAAGTTGTATATATCTTTTTCGACATCTAGAGGCATGTATATGTTACTTTAGCTTATCTCTTATTACCCTTTATATCCAAGGATCAATATATCTCCGGTTTATATATCTTGGAGAAATATGTATACAAGTAAATGAATTGGTTCTACCCTGAATCTTGTACAAAAGCAAGCAGGAGATGATGAATCTTTCCTTGTGTTCATATCACTCAGACGTGCTAAATTAAGCAAGACGAATGGTAAAACTCGAGATTAATTATTCCATACTAGGCGAGCAGATGCGATCAGAATATAATGTAAGGACTCTCCGCTATTTTATTTTTATTTGGGAAAACGGATATACTGGAATATAGTATAGTATACCGGTAGTGTAGTTTTGACGGAGCACGATCTATTGTATCCTGGAGAACTGTGATTTGCATATCATACTGAAGTGCTCACTACCACTAGAGTATTCGCAAGAAGTATGTATATCTTATATACTCATACAGTGTTAATAACCCTCAACTTATTCAAAATATCAAATGTTACTTCCTCCATCCCTCAACCCCCAAATCCTACCCTTATCACATCAATACATCAACTGCTCCACCACATCCTTCCTCCCCAAAAACCCACATCTCTCCGCCAACCTCTCACCCACTAACCCCCCATTCCCATTTTCCCCTTCCCTCGCAACCCCACTCATCCCCGCATTCCCACCCCCAATCAAAAAGATTTCCGCCTCGCTTCCCCCACTAGGCCAAGCCGAAGTCCACCCTCCCATCGACCCATTCCCCCTCCCCCTCCCCGGATCCCCATATTTCCCAAACGAAATCCACGACATCGGCATACTATTCGCTAACGCATAATCACTCGCAGTCGGTTCAAAGCTGTACCCCGGAATCTCGAGATCCGTGATATTGAATAAATCAATATTATTGAAAAGATAAGGGAGTTCGCTAGTATGGATAACTCCAAGACCAGGCTCATCAGTAGCGTCGAGGTACGGGCCCAGAATAGTTTGGTTAACAGCGTATAGATATGTGGGTGGGTTTGTGGTATTGTATTTGCGGGCCATGGCTTGAGTGAATATAACAGATGGACATGTAAGTAAAATATCGCGCAAGATTTGCGCGCTGCGGTAGAATTCGGCACTTAGGTTAGCGCTTGGATTGGCGGGGAATTCGGATATAGGGTATAGATCGAGGAGGTCGGTAAGAGTAGTAGTATTGAGATCCTTGTAATATAGGGAGATGAAATCCTTGGTGTCGGTTGCGGTTTCGATGGTGGTGAATGTGAAAAATGTAGCATCGTCTTCCATCCATCCGGCCATGAGGGGAACCTTGGCAAATTTACCTTGGGCGAGAAGTTCGGATGCTTTCAGGGGAAGGAAATCCTGGTCGACTGTTGGGAGGTAAATGTCTCCATCATTATTGGTGTAGCTATCGACTTGTTGGTCAACAGCGAGATTGAGAAGCGTCTCCATAGAGAGGGATCGCAAGCAGGTAATGACAGTTGAAGATTGATAATCGGTCGTGTTACATCCAGCTAATGCTGCAACTCCAGCGGTAGAGTTGAAGCTGATGTTTGAAGCCATGGATGGTTCGAGTGAACCACTTCCCATTACAGCTGCATGGAAGGGTACAGGCTTTACGCCTCCGTAAGCGAGAATTTGCATGCCGATGCTCAAACCTCCCGAGGATTGTCCAAAAAGTGTCACTTTGTCTTTGTCTCCTCCAAATAATTCAATATTCTCTTGGATCCATTCAAGAGCTAATCTTTGATCCTTGAGAGCCACATTGAGAGACTTGTTGGGTCTCAGAGCTTCAGAAGCTGCGAAACCAAAAATGTTTAGACGGTAGTTAATTCCAACATAGATGACAGGTTCGCCACCAGCAACTGATGCATGAATTAGCCCATCAGGTGCAGTAGTCCTTTCGTTGACAGTGCCGGTAAAATATCCACCTAGTACGGTCAGTTTAACTCAAGTATGGGGGTCTTATGACTCTACCTCCAAAAATGTAAACCATAACGGGCAATTTTGAGCCCGCCTTCGCCCAAGCAGGTCTCGCCAGATTAAGGTTCAAACAATCTTCTGAGATATCTGTGGTATTGGTTTGGAACAAGAAGCCCCATCCCGCTGGTTGGGGACAGGATGAACCTTCGACAGTGGCATTGTAATGGTAACCTGGTGATGGAATAAAAGCTCGAGGAGGTGCAAATCGTCCCTCACCGCTAGTATCCAAACCATATCGAATTCCTTGAAAAGTTTCAACTCCAGTGCTAGAGGTGATTCCTGTGTATGTGGTATTTGTCTTCGGGTCTATAACGTATGGCTTGACATTGACATGTTCAGTTAGTACAGATGAGATCAGCAAACATGTTGTTGACCACAAAGACGAGAACAGCATCTTGACGTTGAACTTATTTGAAGGAAATATTGAGAGAAATGATCTAGAACAAGTTCGAGAGCATCGACTCCCTCTTATGCAGAAATTGAAATCCAGACGAATTCATGCAAATCTATTCATCCCAATTTGACCATTTGGTTGGATTAGCTAAGATCTACGAATAGCTTCCAATATGGGTTGCACGTGTGGGGCTATTAACTCCACCACTGAATTTTAAGGGAAGATTGGTCTCGAACCTTTATTCGTTCAACACAGAGAAGATGCAGCATTGAGTGTCAGTAAAATTCCAAAGCTAGAAGCTTGAGAAGACATTTGTTTCCTCCAAAGTTCATTTATCATCTCTTACCTCTTCTCTGGGATACGAATCCATCGCAGTCGGTATCAAACATTTACCAAGCCCCACGATAAATCACGAACGTTTTTCCAACAGCGGAGATTCCGGGACACCATTTCATCTGATAAGACAAGCATACTCTTAATTGTGGATAGCCAAGAAGCGTTTTAATCTTATCTGATCAAACATACCCACCATAATTTTCCACCTGCTCTCAACAAAATGATAAGCAAATCTGATTAATATCACAAATGAGGAACACGCAAAAGTAAAATGACCGAACTATACCCATTATGGATGCAGTCCACGAGTAAAAACATCAGCATTCTCATTGAAAAAAGATATGGGAATTTGGCAGCTGAGTACGGCTACTTTGCAGTGCTATGTACCCAGGTGGACTGACTGCCCCCCCTCCCCCCCCAGAATTACTGCGTCTAAATAATCAGTTTCTATCAAAGAGAAAGGACGCATGTCCCTATATATCACGGTTGGACACTTATACTCTATAATTGAGTTCATGCTGAGGCCGGCAGCCCTCCACAATCATCGAAATGTGTTCCAAAGGACGGATAACCATGGTTGAGTTCGGTTCGGGGCGGATGTCTCGTGGTTCGTCGATAATGAACTAAGAGATGAATAACTAGTATGAGTATTACAGAAATTGCTTGTTCCGCTGAATAAAGGAGGTACACTAAAAGGATTGTAGGAAAATGGACAACGGGCTTTGGAATCCCATTTTGTTCCTTCATAGGTTCCTGTCCTCCGCTCGGCCTAGTACGCTTCAAGATGAAAGAGGATGTGTGGTCTTCTCCCCGACTTCACATTCACATTCGGCGGAAATATTGGGGGATTCTCCAACGCAGCGTAGTACGGGCGTATTTTTGGACATGTGCCGGGGAGTGTCCGTATTGGTGCTTCGTAAGGAATGTTGACAAGTACGAAGTCGTATGTAATCATTAATCATTCCTGATTGAAACGACAGTCTGTCACCATGCTCGCGATGCGGAGTAATACATTTCGGAATTCCACCAGGCCCATCCGTGCTGGAGTTCATTCTGCAAAGATTTTCGCTGATTATGGTGCAAACACCATAGTTAAGGAGTTTGAGATGCTTGGAACCTGCTGGGTGTATAGGCATACCAAGTCGGGATGATAGTAGAGGCTGTAGAGCCGCCATGGTTATTTACCCGAATGACTAGCAGCGCACATGTAATCTTACATTGAGTCTTCGAAACTCTGGCGGAGAGAAACAATTTACGATGCTTACCACAACGCATCCGCGTCGCGGCAAAGCTATTGTAGATGCCGCTGCTCAAGTTTTGGCTGATAAAGGAAAACTCGAAAGATTTATTTGGAGTACCCTTCCCAACTTCAACGAATTGAGTAAAAGGGAAGTATACCTATGCTTATCATTTTGATGGAAAAGCGGATATTTCCAAGTACCTGCGAAAAGAGAGGAAAGAATTATGGGAGAAAAGTAGTCTGTTGAATATGGGATTTTATACAACGAATATCAAAAACTACCAGGAACTCTTTGCGCCAAAAAAGAAGGTATGTATTTTTCTCCTTTGGCTACTAGGGATATCTAAACTGATTCAATGGCGAACTTTGAGGATGATGGCTCCGGCGAATTGATCTTACATAATCCCAGCTTAAACGCGGCTGAGCATCCTTTTGTTGTCCCAACCGACGCAGGTATCTTCGCCGAGTTACTCGTTCGAGTTCCACCAAAACAAGATCTGTTGGCAGTCAGCGAAACGGCAAGCCACGAGACCTTCTTTAAAGTTTGAGACCAAGTGGCTGGTCTTAAAACCACCTTGGTAGAGGTGACAATTGAGATGCAAGGTAAACTTGTTCCAGGGGGACTTGGAAGAGAGATGGCAGAGACAATGGCTGTGAGTGGTGAGTTTGGGTAGAGGAATTTGGTTCTGCCTAAAGATGTAAGTCCCTTTTGGTGTGAAGATGAGAAAAGCCTTGTGGACTGATATTTTTGATCTAGTTGGATTCCAACGTCAAAACCACAAGCTTGAAGGAATACTTTGAAAGTGAAGATTGGTCCGAGTTCAGATGATTGAGGAAGATGATTCTGTTTGATTAAGATGAGGTAGTAAGGTAGTAAGGTAGTAAGAAAGTGAGGTAGTGAGGTGGTGAGGTGGCAGAAATGTATCTTCTGTAACCTTATCGTGATGTGGCTTGGGTTGCGAAGGAAGTTGGGAAGTTGCGAAGTTGCGAAGTCAAACCAGATATGATTAGAACCATATTCCTGCAAACTCTAGCTATAGAATCCATTACTTTAATGAAAGATGCAATTGTTCTTATAATTGAGAATGATATGATGGATGGATGAATGAAGAATAGGATGAATAATTTATGAAGAAGAAAAAAGAAAGAAGAAAAGAAAGACAAGCAAGCAAGCCTTGGTTTTAAAACAGCGATAGATTTAGATTATGTCACGATTTAATGTTACACTGAATATCACTAAATATTAATCTCTGATTTACCACTTTTATCAATAAACTGTAATTATTGTAGTACTAAAATGGCTTAAAACTGATTGGCTAGTTTATAAATTTTATGATTATATAAGGTTAATCAATCACCGTGGGTCTGAGGATGAGATAAACTAAATATCGCGAACTTTCCCCACCGATTCTTTTATCATACTCAGTATATAAACATCAACTACAACTACAACTACAACAATTGACACTCTCTTGGTTCATTATGGATGATAACGATGAAAAGAAAGGAAGCGTTTGGCCGAAGAGGTTGATGTGGGAGGTTTGTCAATTGGCGGAATAGGTTTGTAAACCACTATGATTTACATCATCCATAGGACTTTTAATTTCGTTCTCCACAAGCATTGGTAAGAACAATATAAACTTCAAATACCAGTACTCCAGGGTTTACGCTAATGGAGATTGGCGTCAAAGCGATCGTAAGGAAATATCCAATCCTCGGTCCGCTTGTAATGGAAATGATGAAAGAAGAAGCTGCCAAAGGAGACCTATCGTTGAAATACGTACTAGCTTTGCCTAGAAAGTATCATGAATTCATTTCGGGCGTATTGCAAAAGCGTCGGGAGTTGACATACGGCTCCTCCTCACCACGACACATGTCAAGAGAACAAAGGAATGAGGCAAATATAAAGGCATACGAACTCTACAAGCAAGATATGGAGAGGAGAAAGGTTCGGTCGGTAATTAGGGCGGCCTCACGGAACATGCGTGATGCTGGAAAGCAGACAGAGAAGGGGAAAATGAGCAAGTAGCTAGATTTGAAGGAAGGGTGGAGTTGATTTCGAGATGTGGATGTCGAGGGAACAGACCAGTACAGAAAGGAGCAAGATCATGATTCAAGGTGCAACTCAAGTGTGTCGTTGATGCTCTGTATAAGGTGACTATACCGGCATCTCAGTTCGAAATTGAATGGATAGGGAGAATTCCAATCTCATATACGAGGACGGTGATGGCATATATCAATAGTTCCAGGTAAAATCCAGACACCTATCTTTGGAACCTCTTCACCGTATTTTGGATCTCGAGGGCTATCTCGAATACTTTGATTGATTCCATAATACCATTTGACGTGATCAAGCTCATCATTCTCCCTGGTGGAAAGGCTTCCATTTGCTATACTCGTATAGCTAAATCACATTGAGGACTCCTTCGGTCATTTGCAGCCAGCAGTTTCTGTGTCTTTTACATCTTCTTGTTGTTACTGCAACCAATTACATAATCACCTCACCCAGAATGAATGACCTACAAAACAATTTTTCTGTTTGATATGCTCTCATCCTTTCGATATCATCGATGTTTTTCTCTCCAAAGACTACTCACAAATTTCCATGGATTTTCCGAATTCGATATATCCCTTCATTATACACAATCCACTATTCATTCATCCCACCGACCTCATGTATACCTAGGTAGATAGATACAGTACCAATCACCTATCTACCCGCGATTCCGTTGGAAAGCATGCGTCTGTTTATCTGTAAGGGAATTGAAAGCGAATCGGTGCGAGCTCTACCTAGGTATATACCGAAGCATAAAAGGCTGATGATGAAAAGCTTCATGGCTAATCCGCCTCTTCTTTTGCAGCGAATCAAGTGACTTTCGTCGATAAGGAGACATACAAGGGTAGTAGTCTTGGGTCTTGGTTCTGCATTGGATTGGACAACTTAGCAAGACACGACATCCCAATTTCAATTATTGTACAGCAAAGACTAGTACACCCAGTTTAATAACGTGTTTCCAAAAAAGATTCGTGATTTTTGACCTCTTTTATCTTTTCATCTCAATTTCAAAATAATTATTTTGATAATAAAGTTATCTTAATATTAAAAAATATTTGAAATAATTTTAATAATCTGTGACCAAAAGGGTATAAACAGGACTCCGATTGTGTACTTAGAATCTACAAGTGAAGAGCTATGTAGAGTGCTAAAAGGAGGACTATATATACAGGTATTGGGAGCCATAAGGGCTAGGCCCAAAAGGGTGAAAGAGTCCTAGGCGTAAGATGCCTAGGTCTAGAGTTATAGAGCTAAGGCTCTAAGCTGTGAAAGGAAGGTCCAAGAGAGCCGTCTGTTCCGTTACATAATCAATAATTCAACTATATTAATAATCTTTTTCAAATTGAATTGATTTTGATAAAGATATTGTAGATTGAAATTCGAATTTGAAATTGAAATTAAGGTAAAAATTGATAAGAAGTTAAAATCACGATTTCTTTTGGAAACATATTATTAAACTGGATATAAGTCATTCTGAGGTTTCCTCGTCTCGTAGAGACTCTGACCGCAAATTACTAGTATGGTCTGTGCGAAGGCGG